CATTGCTGTGGAATCCATTCCAACTCACAGCAGCCCCATGTGTTTCAGTGTAGAATGAACCACAGAGTGTTGTTGGCTGTGATCTCAATGGAAGCAAACCACCAAGTCTAACGACCATGGTACAGCTGAGTGGGTTTGAACCACCAAGGATGACTCTCCTTCTACAACTGCCCATATGGACTCATGAGAAATGAGTGCTAATCTTTGTAACTTTAATCTTGATCCAATTTTTTTGTAACTAATTTTGTTGTTAGCTGCTGTTGAGTGGACACTCAACTCATGGTGATCCCATGCACAACTGAACCACATGCACCATCCCCATCATCAATTGAGGAGCTGACCATTGTGAACCATAGAGCTTTCAATGACTGATATTCAGAAGCAGATTGCTAGGCTTGTATTCTAAGTCTGTCTTAGTCTGTAAGCTCTGGAAGCTAAGCATCCTGGGATCGTTCAAACTCCTACTGACAGACAAGTAGTGGCTGTTTTTGAGGTGCAGTAGCCAGGTATTGAACCCAGGTCTCCCACATGAAAGGCAGGAATTCCACCACTTTCTGGCTTTAGGTTTAAAATTCTGCCTTAAATAATAGGTTGGCAGAATTTTAATAAGCCTGCCCTATGATTGTTCTATTACACTTCCCAGGGATTCAAGAGTTTACTGTGGATATAGGCAGATAAAACCCTTACAGGGATTGATTATCATATAATTTGGTGATTGTAGTTTATTGAGGGGATTGATCAATTTGTGGTCTTGATGGGAGGTATAGCCTCATAAAAGGGCAATCCCACAGGAGTTGAAGGGGACCTCACTACCATCAAGAAGTCCTGGAACAGAGTGCATCCTTTGGATCTGGGGTCCCTGTGCTGAGAACATCACAGACCCAGGAAAGAGAGAGAACTGTAACACTGAAGATGATGAGATACCACAGGAGATGGCACATCAGCATTAGTGGTAGGGATCAGGAGACCAGCCAACCCACAAAAAAGTGATCTAGACAGCTAGCTGTGTGCCTTTGGGCAAGAGCTTGCTGGCATTGTGGAGTACCTTAGGCATTTGTCAGCAAAACTAAACTATTCTAACATTTTTTGCCTGACCAGAGCAGAGGTAGTACGACCAAATGGGGCCCAAGACAGGCACAGACAAGAATCTAAGAGCTGTCTTGCTGTCCTGAATGAAGAACTGTATCCTGTCTCCTGAGTTATATCCTGTTATCTCCAAGTTGATCCTGATCCTGAGTTGTAACCTGTTGCGGTGCTGTTAGGTACATGGATGCTAACCAAAAGGTCAGCTGTTCGAACGCCCCAGCTGCTTACTGGAAGAAAGACATGGCAGTCTGCTTCTGCAAACATTTACCGTCTTGGAAACCCTATGGGGCAATTCTGTAGGGTCCTATGAGTTGGAAACAACTCAACAGCAATGGGTAACAAGTAACTTCCCTAACAAGTCACTTGCCATGAGTATGGTGTATGAGTTCTGTGTGGCCATTGTAATTAATTATTGAAACCAGCAGAGAAGTTGAGAGTGCAGTGGGATGGCTGGTGTCAGAATTAGTAAAAAGTTCAGAGAGTAGAAGTATGTCTTGCCTCCGCCTGATAGGAATTAGCTTTCTGCGGACCTTGATTCTCATCCCTCCTCTGAAGGTAGATGACAACTGATGCTACTGCATTGTCGTTGCTATTGTTAGGTGTCATTGACTAGGTTCCAACTCATACAGATCCTATCAACAGAAAAGAATCAGTGTCTCATCCTATGCCATCCTCACAATTGCTAATTTTGAGTCCACTGTTGAAAGCACTGTGTCAGTTCATCTGGTTGAGGGTCTTACTCTTTTTTGCTGACCCTCTACTTTCCCAAACATGATGTCCCTCTCCAGAGAGATGTCCTCTCCTGATAACATTAAGCAATGCAAATGACACAATCCTCACTTCTGACTGGACTTCTTCCAACACTGATTTTTTTGCTATTCTGGCAGACTGTAGTATATTCAATACTATTCACCAACACCAGAATTTAAAGGCACTAGTAGTAGTAGTATTTTTAAGTCTCCTTTACTCATTCTTCAGCTTTCACAAGCATATAAGGTGAGTGACAGTCCAATGACATGGGGTCAGGTGCACTTTAGTCCTCAGAGGGACATCTTTGCTTTTGAACACGTTAAAGAAGTCTTTTACAGATTTGCCCAGCAGATTTGTCCTTGGATTTCCTGACTGCTGCTTCCATGAGTACTGATTATAGATCCAAATGCAATAAAATCATTGACAACTCAATATTTTCTTCATTTATCATAATGTTGCTTATTGGTCCAGATATGAGGGGTTTTATGTTGAGGTCTAATCCAAAGGCTGTCATCTTAGATCTTTATCACTAAGTACTTTAAGACATCTTCACTTTCAGAAGTAAAGCTGTGATATCAGCACATTGCAGGTCTTAATCAGTCTTCCTTTATCTTGAAAAACATTTCATTCCCAGGGTCTTCATGACCTGTTGACCCAATTATCTCCAGTGACCTTCAGCTTAATCTGTAGGCTTGGGCACATCTTGTGAGGGATAGTTTTTAGCCTATTATCTGCATAGCAGAAACTAGAATTCTTTCTCTTTTTTTAAATGTTTTATTGTGAATTATTTGATAGTTTACATGGGAGAACATTAGCTTTACATTCATCCTATATCATTTCATTGCCATGGTTACAATCCCCTCCGTGCATCATCAACCAACCAAAGGGTATACCCTGTAAGCCTTCCCCCAAGTCGTCAGCACACAGCCCCTCTCCCTCTCTGGGTCCAGAGTTCCCAGCCACTCCATCTCTCCACGTCATCATCTCTGCCTCCACCTCTGGCATCATTGTTTCTCTGGGTAGGGTCCTGCACACCGTTCTTCTCCCTTGATGGTCCCAGGGACTTCTGCTCCTAGACTGCAAAGTCAATCACTTCTCTCCTTTTGCTACAAAATGTCTACCTTTACATTTCCAACCCTCACAGTCAGTCTTGATAACAATTATTCACTATTGTATCACAAGAGACCTATCCCCACCTTCTTTCATCAGCCCCGCCCAGACAGATGAGTGGACAATCTACCTTCCTCCACACTCTCTGGATCTAGGCTCCCTCTTGAAAGCTTGTAAGCCAGTCACTTCTTGCCTCTGCAGCTCCCCCATTTTGGGTAGCCAATGTCCAAGTTGCCCATCCCTATCTACCCTGTGTATTGAGGGGGTGGGAATGATCCTTACTGTAAAGATTTGTTCCCTCTTTTGAGCTACTGCATCCATAGGTGTAGGTCAAGTTCATCAAATTGTATCAGATTACTTTTTTGTTCCTCTTCTTTTTTCTTCTAGTTGAACTCTGATTATTCAGTCATTAAAGCCAGGTCAAGTGGGGATTTATCTGCAAGTGTGGGTGTTCTTATGCATATGCCCTCTCTTCTTATCAGCTGGATACTTCACTCTCCACTCTAGTCCTCTGTGGCTATGTCACTGGCTCTAGGATCAAGAGTCCCCAGGTCTTGCCACACTGCTGGCCAACCAGGTCTCCACCTGCATTCACAGGAGTCTACTGAATGTTGTAGGGCTTAGCTTGCAGCTTCATTGCTGTTTTTCCCTCACTTCCCCTCATCGGTGATGAACGTGGTCACCAGTCAGAGCAAGTGTCTACTCGTGTATTCCCATTGAGTCTCAGTCTTGGAAGCGGGTTTGCCCTGAGGGAACCCAACCACTTGCCTTGATGTCTCCTGAGCGAGCAACTTGCTTGTTCTTGTAGTAATCAGTCAGACTGCTGTGGTTGTTTTGTTATTTTTCCTGTTGGTCTTTCTTTCGAGAAATATCTTCTGTTCTTCTAGCCGCTCCAGGATGGTCTGCTTGTCCTTTCAAGTGGAAATTTCCCACCTCTGAAGATTCTGGATGGGGTTCAGGATTTCACCTATGGTCTTACGTAATGCAAAGGCTCTGCAGTGGGCACTTTATATTGCCATTTTAGGTATTCTAATCAGTTTTAGGCAGAAGACGGACTTACGAGCGCCCTGTGGTGGTATTTCTGGCTATTCCTTTCTCTCCCCCTCAAGTGTCTATTTTATAATGGTATGCAAGGGAAACCAAGACTCAAAAGACAGCCAAGTATCTTAATATTATTTCCCCCCTTTTGCCCATTCCAACCATGTCTCAATCCCTGTATCCCAGAGCTCTATTGTTCCAAAGTTGTGTATCAAACTAGAATTTTTAAAGGCAAAGTTTATACTTTTATTCAGCCATCACCCTTAACTGTTCAAAAACTTTTCCATCACCTTTAACATAAGTTCAGTGTCCCCTAAAGACTGCGTCTTCCTCTGTTCCACCAATCCCTCTGGCTTGTAACAAGCTCTGGTCTCCATACAATTGCCTATTCTAGAAATTTCATATAAGTAAAGTCATACTGGCAGTGTAGGATACACCCAACTGCCAACCATAGGCTATTGGTTCAAACCCATTAGCTTCTCCTTGAGTCGCTATGAGTTGGAACCAACTCCACAGCACTTAACAACAATAAAAACAATACTTATCGTTTTGTGATTTCATTCAAAAAAATGTTTTCAAAATTCATTCTGTGACACCACACAGTATAGCTGAATACCTGAGGGAATAAGAGGGCAAACTTTGAGAATCAAGAATAAAGATTTGATTCCCTTCTAATAAATAGTTCAGGTATAAAGGAAGTCACAAGGCCAGCCAACTGGATCTTTGGGCCAAAGAGGAAAGTTGCCATCATTGAATTCGCAGGCTGGTTTTGCAAAGTCATCCCAAATCTCTCTAGCACATTTCTGTTTATCTGGGCAGGAAACTTGAGTCCTGGAAGCGGGTAGGAGGGCACTTCCGGGAGCGCTAGGGCTTTCTCTGCGCACGCGCGGCCCATGAGCTTAGGCCCGCCCCTGAGCGTTGAGCATCTTCCAGCGTTAGCTCAGCTACTACTGCACTTGCACCCATCCTCCGGGTTTACTGGTCTCGGGTCCTCGCTGCCGCCTGCACACTGAAGCATGTCGTCCTGCAGCCGCGTGGCGCTGGTGACCGGAGGCAACAAAGGCATTGGCTTAGCCATCGTGCGCGAGTTATGCCGGCAGTTCTCGGGGGACGTGCTGCTCACAGCCCGGGACGCCGAGAGAGGCCGGGCGGCCGTGCAGCTGCTGCAGGCCGAGGGTCTGAGCCCGCGCTTCCACCAGCTGGACATCGATGACCTGCAGAGCATCTGCACCCTGCGCGACTTCCTGCGCCGCGAGTACGGGGGACTAGACGTGCTGGTCAACAACGCAGGCATAGCCTTCAAGAGTAAGGTGCAGGGAAGAGGGGGTCTAGGAGAGACATTGCATTGGGGCCCGCTCGCAGCTGTGGGGTCAAGAGAGGGCTTTTTAGGAAAGGAGAAGGGACTAGGGAGAGCCGAGTCCATCTGGAGTTGGGGGCTTTATAGTAGGAGGGGCCGTATCGTACATTTCCCTAGTGAGATTTTTCTAGGAATTCTTTCAACGGTTTCTGTCTGGTTGGACTTTGAGGCAGTTGAGTTAATTTTTAACTATATTTTGATATAATTAGGAAATTACACAAACTACACAAGGTTTTGTGCCGTACGTACGAGGCTCCCCCGTTGGTATCAACTTGTGTACTACAGAAAACATCAAAACAAGAACATTGACATGGCACGTTATTATTAGCCAGTGCCAAGGCAGTAATCAGAATTCACCAGATTTCACATTCGCTCCTTTTTTGTGTGGGTGGAGGGCTAATCAGTCCGTGAAACTTTATCAGGTTGCTACAGTTTATTAACTTTGTCCTTTCCTCCCCAAAAGATGCGGATCCTACCCCCTTTCATATTCAAGCAGAAGTGACGCTGAAAACAAACTTTTTTAGTACCCGAGATATTTGCACAGAGTTGCTGCCCCTCATAAAACCCCAAGGTAAGCCTATGATGAAGAGCATCTCTCTTCAGTGCCTAGCTCTGCCTGCCTCTGGCTTTTCTGCCAAGCTACCCTGGTCTCCTCCCTGTGTGTCTACCCTATCAGGTGTGGTTCTGCCTGAGGATTTTGCCCTCCTCCAAAGGCAGACCTGGGTGCTCCTTCCTGCAGATTTTTGCACACCTGGTTCTTTCTTTTTCAGCCTTAGCTCCAATGCCCCTTACTCCTTGGAATTCTGTAGGATTCATCACATGTCCTCTCGCCTTCCTATCTGTTCCCAGACCCATCTTAATTCAGTCTAGAGGAGCTGGCCTGAATTGGTGATTAGAGCATTGTTTACCAGTTCATTAAATAATTTCTAATGGTATTTTATTGTGCCTTCGGTGATAATGACACAGCAATTTAGGTTCCCATTCTACAGGTTTTCCGCATATTGTACAGTGACATTGCCTACATTCTTCACAATGCATGATCATACTCATCATTTCTGTCCTGGATGTTGGTTTCCATTAAACAAGTTTCCCTGTCCCCTTACCTTCTAATGTCTATTTTAGAATCATTTTTGACATTGGGTCTTATATAGATGACTTTTTAAAGGAGCACAGTACTCCTTTATCCTCTGAGCCAGTCTGTTATTTAGGCAAAGGTGACCTCGGGCTAGATTCAATTCAAAGTTTAAAGAGTCTCTCAGGGCAGTAGTCTCAGGGAGTTCTCCGATCTCAACTGATCCAGTAAACCTGGATTTTAAGAAGTCAGGTTCTGTTCCACATTTTTCACTAAGTAGCTTAGCCTAATTTCTTTGAGTCTTTGGTTTCCTTCCTTCTCAACTCCAGTTGAGTAAACACCAGTAGATGTATCTTAGATGGCCGCTGACAAGTTTCTAAGACCCCTTAGTAAAAACTTTAAAACATCAACAAAAACAGTTGTTATCAAGTGACTCCTACTCAGCAACCCCCTGTGAGTCAACTTTGGTCACCAGCGTTTTCAATGGCTGATATAGATCACCAACCCTTTCTTCCAAAGCACCTCTAGGTGGATGCAAACCTCCAGCCTTTTAGTTAGTAGCCAACCACTGTTTGCACTACTTTGATACACAAATACATTAAGCCAGTTGCCATCAAGTTGATTCCAACTCATGGCAACCGGTATGTTTCAGAGCATAACTGTTCCATATGGTTTTCATGACTTTGACCTTTTGGAAGGGGATCGCCAAGCCTTTCTTCCAAGGTATCTGTGGATACGTTCAAACTACCAATCTTTCGGTTAGTAACCTAGCACTTAACCATTTGTGTTATCCCTGAATCTGCTACATGTCCACATCACTCCAAAGCTCCAAACCCATGTAGGTGTCTATCTGCCTCTCCATGATTTCCAGTTCCCCCAGCCTCCTCCCCTACATCTACAACAGACATTTCCAAAGGGGACACTCATTGTCTCTCTTCATCATCCACTCACCTCCTTAAATTGATCTACCAGGTCTTAAGAATTTGCTTTCCACTTTCTCCCCCAATTCATCCTCCATTCCACCGCCACCTGTGATTCCCAGACAAGAGAATATCACTTGCATGATCACCCTTCTTGAGTCTTCCTTTCCCTACATTTTCTATCCTGTCTCTGTATACAGTCCCTTCTGATAATCCCTCAGAAGCAAAGTCTAAGCAGCTTAGCATGATTTATAAGGCTCTCTGTAATCTGACCTGCTAAGAGCAGGATCCTTATAATTCCTTTTCATCATGCTCAGTGTTCTAGACTAATGTGAGTTTTATTATAGTCTACTGTAATCCCTACCCCAAGGTCATGGAATGGGAGTGGCACACCACTCCAGCAAGCTGCCCGTGTTAGAAAATGTTAAAGTGAATAACTCTGCATTGAGTCCTTGCATGTATTGTTTGCTCTCCAGTTTGTTTTTGCAGGGTTGGCCTCTTCACTTTCCATCCCAACCCCTTCTCCCTGCCTGGCCCTCCAAGAAGGCTGTACTCCTCCTAAGACTAGCTCAGTAGGACCTGGAAGGGAGGTTCTTTCAAATGTCACCTGGCTCCTTCAGTCATCCTGGCGCTTGAAGGCAGGTCTAGAGTTCTGTATTAGTGTCCCAGAGTTGCTATCACAGAGTCTCACATTATGATGACTGTTAAGAACAAAAATTTTATCTTACTTCAGGGTTGGACAGAGCCATGTTTTCTCCAAAGGCTCGGGGTGGGGTGGGGTAGGGGCACACTGTTCTTCCTGATTCTGTAGCCCCAGGTTTTCCTTGGCTCTTAGCTGCAACATGACTCCACTGTTATAGGGTGGTTTTCCCTCTCTGTGTCTCTTCTTTTTCTTTCATTAGATCGGGTCCCACCCTTCCCCACCTGCTAGCTTAATTGGTAACATCATCAAAGAACATATTTCCAAACAAAGTCTTATTTACAGATAATCAGCAGTTAGGACTTCAACATAAACCATTGGGGAACATGATTCAATATGTAACTGCTCCTACCACACCTTATACACACATCTGTCATAGAATTCATGCTTCTACATGGTCCATTTTGCTTTTGTGATTGGGCTTTGTTAATTCTGGCTGTGTCAGGGCTTGGTCCCAGTGTGAGAAATGAGGACATTCATGGATTTGCTAAAGCAGGCTCTATTCAAACAATGTCTCTTGCCTGAGGGCAGCTAGGATTCAATGGAAGTTTATGCATGTCATTTTCTTCTTACTGTGAGAGCAAAATTTTGTTTTTGAAGATCAGTTCTCTTAGTTATTATGACTCTGTTCAGGTCCTGTTTGGGAGAAAATTCAGGAAAAGACCTTGGTAGGGTAACCAAGAGGAAATCTTGTACTTCCCCAGTCTTAGTCTCCTGATGCTATTATATACAAATAGCACTAGTAAGTGCCTTTAAAGAATGCAGATAGATTTTCTCACACTCCAGGAGATGAGAAGTTTAAATGCAGGGTACCAGCTCTGGAGGAAGATCTTCCTCTCTCCCAGCATTCCTCTGAGCTCCTTGGCAGTATGAGTACCTTCTCTTTTCAGTGCTTGCTTTTCTCTGTAGTTACACTGCTCCTTATAACTCAGACATGCCTAGGTTGAGGCCAGGCCATATGTAACCACACCAGCCTCCACATGCATTTACATCCACAGATAGAGAGGTTACGATTCCAGCACACATTCAAGGGTGGGAGTAGGCTCATGTCAATCAGTAATTCACCGATATCTCAACCCAGGGGCACAAAGATGACCTTGGACCTCTGTGGGTGTTATGCCCAGAATTCGGGGTCCCCAAAGACCACCCAGGAGCCATGTACTAATGTAAATACATAAGGGTTGTTTATTCAAGCTCGAGCCAGGTCTCTAACCTTATCCGAGGGAATAGGGAAAGAGCCTCGAACCTTTTGTCTGCAGGGTTTTTATAGAGTTTTCAAACAGCTCAGGTTTTAGCTTTACAATCTTTGGATTGGTTAACAATTGGCAAACTATGAGATGTTACAGTTTAATTGGTCAGGACTGGTGGTCTTTGTTCTTAGACTAGGGTAAAGGAAAACATCTGGCCTCTGGCCTTGAGCTGCCTGGCTATTTATACATATATCATTTTCTTGGAGCTAGAGGACATGCTAAAGCTTATATACAAAATGGATTCTTCTCTTTGGCCCTACATGGGGAACAGAAAACATCCAAAAGGGACACCATTTTCAGTATAGTGTTTGGTGTGGAAAAAGAAAAGGAAGGGCTGGAATGATATTCGGAGTCCTGTTGTGATGCCATAGGATAGACACTCAACCTCTAGGTTGGTTTGAACTGCAAAGTTGGTGGTTCAAACTCACCAGCAGCAACTCAGACGCCCTATACAGAGTTGTTAAGAGTTGAAACCAACTTCAACAGCACATAACAACAGTAGGACCTTCAGGATTCCTGAGGAATAACTGTTTACAGATTGCTGTGGATTTTTTTTATGTATAATTTAATCCTTTCTTTTAAAACAAGCTTACTAGAAAAGAGACTAGCCACACAGAAAATATAAGAATACTGCTTTATACTCTCATGTACCCACCACTTAAAGAATGAATCCGTATCCACGCCATTTAATTCCCTTTTGTTATTGTTAAGTGCTATCAAGTTGGTTCCAACCCATAGCAATCCCGTACAGGGTGTCCAAGGAGTGAGCTTCAACTGCCAACCTAGCAGTTCAAGCCAACTTTGCAGTGCAGCGCATTAGCCCACAGCACCACACCAGGACTCTTTAAGCCCCGTAGCCCCTTCTTAACATGTCTTCATATTTCCTCAAACCATCGTGGTAAATTTGGAAGAATGCTTTATTTAATGCTGGTAGGCTGAGAGGCTTTTTGTTCGGTTGGCTGGTTCTTTTTTAAGTTATATTTTGTGTATATTTTTTTAAGTATGTGTAACAAACCCTGATTTAAAGAGGTGCCACTTTTCAGCTTCCTCAAGTCTGAAAATCATTGGGTGATAAGATAGTTCAGAAAAACTATGGTAGCTTTGCTATAACACAGCTATCACAAATAGGTGGGTTTAAAGAACAGAAATCCATTTCCCTCACCTTCCTGGACTCTAAATGCCCACATCAGGGTCTCTACCATGTTGATGGTTTTTGTGGGTCTTTCTCCTATTTCCAGTGTCTGGAGATAGTCCTTGGCATTTCTTTCCTTGTAGATGGGCCCTTACAAGGCATCTGTCTTCCTCCTGTTTGTGTCTCTGCTCTGCTCTGTTTACACTCAGAGGGATTAGGTTTAGGACCCACCCTACTCTGGCCTGGTCCTATGAGCTGAACATAAGAAGACCCCATTTCCAAACAACAGGACCAAGTCCTCAGGTACAGGGAACAGGACTTCAATATATATTTTGGGGGGACACAGTCCATAAACTACTTCTGCCACTTTGTGTTTCTATGAAGGATGGATGAAACACATTGCTTGAGGCCGCATGGGAGGAATTTTGTATATATTTTCCCATTTTCCTGAGGCAAGCATGGAGGCAGAAATATCTCAAAAGTCACATGCACAGCCAGGATCTAGACCTAGGTCCTGTGACTTCACAAGCAAATTGTTCCTCCTACACGCAGTGGTTCTCACCTGTTCTTATACCGGATTGTAAAGTGGTCCCTAATAGACCGGTGTGACCACTGATGGAAGGGGACTTCACCTTGATCAGGGTCCCATCTTTTTCACCACAGTGACCTTCAGGACACCTCAGGGAAATGATAGGCGTCCAGGAGACTTAAGACCACTGTGGTACCTGGTAGAAACTGCCTACTAATCCAGAGGTGTTGACAGCAGGTACTCTTGGAGTAAGAGAAGGTAGACTTAGAGGGAATGTGCTGAGTAGAACAGCTTCAAAGGTCTACAGAAGTCAGGTGTAGACTTAGTTCCTCTGCCTAAACGATTAGAATCAAGGAAAGTGTTTGAGTTAAGTTCCTCAGGAGATCACACCTTTACAAGTATCCCTTGGTAGCCCAGGTGACTTGGCTCCTCGTTGTGGACAGTGAGTGTTTGGGGAGTGTTGGCCTGATGCTGGGTCCTCCTGAAGGTTTACAAGACTGTAAGAGAGTCAGTCCACATGCAGTTGTGGGCCAGTCTACAGTTCAGCAGCGTAACACACATTCAGAGGTTGTACAGACACCATTACTCTCCAGTTCCAGGACTCTTCTGTCCTTTCAGAAGGAAATGTTAGGATATTTAAAATACAACAGTCATGTGAAAAAGTTGCTGTGTTTTGTACCCTCAAGAGCCTGATAAGAGCTTGGTGCTTCGCTGTTGGTCTTTCCTGTGCATGTCTTTCTCTGTAACCATGTGTGTTGTATTCCAGGCAGAGTGGTCAATGTGTCCAGCATGGTTAGTGTCAGAGCCCTTAAGTCCTGCAGCCCAGAGCTGCAGCAGAAGTTCCGTAGTGACAGCATCACAGAGGAGGAGCTGGTGGTGCTCATGAACAAGTTTGTGGAAGATACAAAGAATGGAGTCCACCAGAAGGAGGGCTGGCCCAACACTGCATACGGCGTGTCGAAGATCGGCGTCACAGTCCTCTCCAGAATCTATGCCAGGAACCTCAGTGCACAGAGGCCAGGTGACAAGATCCTCCTGAATGCCTGCTGCCCGGGGTGGGTGAGAACGGATATGGCAGGGCCCAGTGCCACCAAAAGCCCGGAAGAAGGAGCCGAGACCCCTGTATACTTGGCCCTTTTGCCCTCAAACGCTGAGGGGCCTCACGGACAGTTCGTTCAGGAGAAGAGAGTTGAGCAGTGGTAAGCTGGACTCAGCGCCATTCTCAGGCATTTAGCATTGTCACAGAGCTGTTGTCATCCCTCTGAAACACTCACTGCCAGCTACCTGCTCAGTCTCTGAATTCTTTTGTGATTTCTTATAGGGACAAACGTGTAATTGGGGAAAACCATAACAGAATCAGTACAAAAATGAAATAGTTCTTGGTAGATACCTATTTGTATTTATTGCTTGTGTCCTGAATCAACTCTACCTTTTTTTTTTTTAAAAAAAAAGCATTTATTAGTTCTATTCTGTTCCAACCCTCATTAAACCCATTGTTTTCTGTAGATCATCAGACCTTTCTTCTTAAGGGCCACTTTGTCGACTCAGCCGTCATCGTTTTAGTTAGCAGCTGTGCGTGTTATTAGAACTGTAACATAACCCAGAGCTTGGCAGCCTTTAATGCAAAGGGCCAGGTAGTCAATGTTTTCAACTTTGAGGCCGTATGATCTCAGTCACAACTAGTTGTCCTTGTAACATGGAAACTGAGTACAGCTAGATTTGACCCTCAGACTCTATTTTACCAACTTCTGGTGCAATATAAACACTGGCTAGGACAATATGTGCAGGTGTAACCTTGCCAGGGAATTACTTCTGTTGTCAGAACCATGGCAGCTACAAGGGTTTCCAGGTGTGAAAGGAGGGCAACACCTACAATTCTTAGGCAATCCGTGAGTCAAGACAAGTTACTGTTTGGAAGTAGAAATACCTTAT